TTAAGTAAATATTTTGTTTTTTTTTTTTTTAGAATAAACGTAACATCAAGTGACCTAGTTAGAATTACTTTATATAAACTGCTTTAATCGTTTGCACTGTTCGTATCTTAATTCGATGTTCGTAATGTTTTGTTTTTTTGTAGACTGTTGAATGTAAAGATAATATTAATGATACTGTTGTTTTTGCTCTATTTTATCATAGGTAGACACAAAAATATATATCTTATAATAAGCTTTGAACAACTATTGACAACTTTAAATATTGTATTTCGAATAATACGACGTTTCTTCTATTTTATGCTACACTTTTGATGCTTTTCGGCCACCACAATTCAAATGATTTTTATTTATTTGCTTTGACTTTTGAACTCATTGCCTTCGTATCAGATTTTATTGTAAACTTAAAATTTTGATATATCTATTGCATAATTTTGATAAGCAGTGACAGTTATACCTCTTTCTTTGACATTTAATAATTAATCTATAATTAATATGCAGCAATTAATAAAATTAACTTTGGATATAGTTTAATTATAACAAATACGTTTATAATTTTCTTCTTAATCTTGGTGCTTCATTAGAGAAAGTTTCTTTGGTCTTATAACATTGCTTTAAAAGTTATTGCTTTGTAATTTACTATTGCTTCGGAGAAAGTTTACTTTTTGAGCTGTTTGTTGAAGAAAAATCAATCACTGTTCTAATGTAAATAGAATGTAGCAAAGTACTATTTGATATTTGCAAATATAGACTTAAGTAGAAATTATATAATAATTATAATGTCAATAAAAAGTGGAGGAATTTTAAGTTTTTGTTTTGAGATCAATTTTAGAAGCTGTGATCGATTTTTATTACATTTGCGTACGTACAATTATGTACATAACTTTTCAATAGAAAGTGAAATAATTGTGAATGATCTAAATCAATAAATTTTCATAGTTGTGTTCAACTTTTTACTAATTGCTAAGAGTATTTTCACCAGTTCCTCTCTTTGACATAAGGTGACAGCTGTCATTTCTGGATCCATTTTACATGATACAATAAGTTGAGAATCGCTGGTTTTTTGACATAAAGTGACAGCTGTCATTTCTCGATCCATTTTTCTTCAGACAATAGGCTAAAAACGCTGGTTTTCGAAACTTTTTGAGAAAATAAGTAAAGAATATTGATATGTTTGTTCAATAATACAAAGATTTCATTACGCAACTTATAGATGTTATTCAATCGATTGCACATATATAAAACTGCACTTGTCTCGAATACAATCGCATTGCAATAAATATGTATCATTATGTTTGTTATCTTTTTTTTTATAAATTTGTAAAATAATTGCAAGTAAATGGAAATCGAAATAATTGCAGTTTACGAGAAACACGACTAAAGGTAAAATAACACCCGTTTTGGCCTTGAGACGCAACAGTTCTCGTTCATTAAAATTTGCACAAAT